GCCCCCAACAGCTAGCGCCCCCTCTTTATCTTGTCCATGCGCTTGTCTGTGCCTCCCCATTCTACTGTCATGTGTGTCATGGGTTAAGTCAGATTCTGCTGCAGGCTTGTTGTGCTAGACTGCGTGCCGTGTGTGTGTGTGTGTTGGATCCGAATGGCAGAGTTAAGGCTGTCATCCTGCTCCAAGATGACCTAAACCTTCCACCAGTTGAGCACCAAAATAGAATACTGTGTCTAAATGAGTCACCTTTTTCCGGTACTGCAGATTTTATTGGGACACCATGCTCCTGCGTCATCGAAAGGCTTCACTTACGGTAATGGAAGAGGGGTAATGCCCAACTTTTAATTTCGGACGTTTATAAAGAAACTGCGTTTTTGGATGATCTTTTTTCCATCCTATCCTCTTGAAGCCTAAGGGAATTGAAATCAGTGTTTTCTTTCAAAGTTGGTTAATCTTGCTCTTGTGGACTCATAACATACATGTACAAAGTATGTTCTGTGAGTGATGTTCCAGTGCCCGTTAAATGTGTATTTTGCCAAACCCTCACCTTTCAGTGTAAACTGGGTGGTGCTAATCTTGAGTAGCGCTTATGTAAGCAGTACATTCACCAGTCAGAAGACTGATGTGGTTTGTTCTGACCATGCAGCTTTAACAAAGCCATTCACCACCCAGTCCATATGCACAAGCTGCAAAAACAGCATGTTTTGAAGTTATTGTTTCTGTGACGTCCCAAAAGTCAGCCCTTTACATGCATCTGCCTATTCAGTGCTCACCAGTTTTAGCCCCGCCCCTGCTGTAGCTATAAGGACTGTTTCAGCCTGGACTTCTTTTTGAATGAGGTGCAATACAGGGCAGCTATTCAGAACAGAGATCATTGACACATTAGTCTTAAAGGCACAGTAACAAAAACAACCTGGGATAAAGAGAGGTTGGAAAATGGTCATGTAAAAATGAATTATGACCAATTTTTTTGTTCATAAACCCAAGCTAACATTATACGTGCACCTCGGGGATAAAATCAAATACAAGAAGAATAAAGGATACGGACCATTTTAAGAGATCGCCACATAAAAGCTGGGTAATGTTTTTGGTGAACCATGAGCACAGCAGGGTCTACGCCACCACCTATATATGTAGAGTCCTTTCCATTCATTTCTCCCTGCAAGCGCTGCTGTGTTTCTGATTCAGTAGAGTAGCAGGCTGGGAGTGTTGAACTGTGGGCAGTCATATGTGCAATCATGTGTATTCAGAATATCAAAACCACGCCTAGACAGTTCTCAGATAGCTCTGCATTAGCATTTATAAAGATGTGGTTTATTATTATTATTTCTTGGTTGTTTTGCTGGATGTTTAATCGAACTCTCAGTTTTAGTATCATACAAACATTTATACATTTTACACTGTGTTCCCTGGGACTTCCTAAATGGTTCTTGGCTTGGACATACAGTTCTAAGATGTATGTTCTACAATATTGAATTTTTATGGAATCTTCAGTTCTTCACACTCTTTAGAAAGCACATCTAATTTACAAAAACAGTTGAAGAATCATGCATTGAAAAGGTCTTCAGCAAACTGGAAGCGCTTCTTCTAAAGCAGTGTTGCCGACTGCCTTGCATATTTTAGTGATTTTCCCCTTTTAACATGCTTCCTTCAACTCAAGCGTTTTTAATGAGTTAATTAGTTGTTTCAGGTGTGTTGGGAGCAGAGAAAACACCAAAATGTTCAGGGCATTGGGACTCCAGGACCTGGGTCCTGAGAGTGAGAGTGTAGAGAGAAATCTGCCACTTGCATTCTTAAGGACTGAAGGCCATGGATAGCAGAAAACACATCTGTGATTTGAACACAAATCCAGCATAAATATGGAGTTGTTGCCTTAGTTTACTTTTTTTTATAACTGTGTGGGAGAGATGCGTAAAATAGTAATATGATGCATTGAATGGACGTTTGATCTGAGCATATGTATGTGCACCCAAATATGTGGTGTAAATGTATATGCATTATTATTATTATTTCTTTGGTCACAGTGTACTATAGGGCTGTGTGTATGTGTATAATCCAGATAGTGTGGGAGAGTGAAGTTCTGCAAGCTCATTGGAGGCTGAATAATGAGGTGCATGGTAAAAGATGGAGGTCATATTGGGATCCCTGCCCTCATTCATCAGACCTGGCGCGCTGCGACAGAAAGCCTCTTCTAAAACATTAAAAACTCCTTCCAGGGCCACACACACACACACACACACACACACACACACACACACACACACACACACACACACACACACACACACACACAAGCACAGACTCTTGCTTACTGTTTGCCAAACCTGCAGAGCCAGCAAACTCTATAATTTGCCCAGTAAGGGTAGTTAAATGGGGAAAAAAAACAGGTTTAAATTTTTGTTTATTTTTTTATGTATGTATATTTCTCTCCTGCCCTGCATTCAGGTTACATGCATTTTTTACCATGTATCTGTTGTTAGAATTGAGCGTTCCACTCCCTAATGCCTAATGGAACAAATGGAGGTTTTTTTGTTGTTGCCTTAAGCTTTTAGGCTTTTTGTGTTTTTGGACATTCAGGCTTGTTAATGTTTGCTAGTGTGTGTCCATGTCTGACATGGACTGTACAAGAAACCACTGCTGAAATAACACAGCACAGTTTTATTCTTTGAAACAGTAGTTTTTGTATGGTTTAATGTGTTTAAAATAGTGTTTTGGTAACACTCTTGCAACTGCATTAATCATGAAAAGTGACGTTTTGCGTGAGTTAAAAATTAGTTTTTTGCTGTGAATTACATGAAGAAAAACTTCAGCAAATGTGTGATTCTCCTCAGACTTCAGCCTCATATCAGTACTGTGTGAGACTGGAAAGGTTTTTATGAAAATTGTTATCCAAAATAAGAGCACTTTTTTCTCCATGACCATATTGATTCAGCCTGTTTAGATTATGTTCTTCAGAATTGTTGTCATGAACTGTTCTGTTATTTGACTAATTCGGTTTTTGTCAGAGAAAGATTGGGGGAGGTCTTTCATCCTAGAATACTGCTGATTCATTTTAATCATTTTTAAAGGTGCTTGTATCACTGAATTGAATTGTCAGATCAAATTGCTCTTTAGTGTATTGAGTCATTCTTAACTCACAAACGTTTTTGAAACATACATTTGAATCGTGAATCAAATTGATGTTGGCTCAAAGGTTTACACTTATAATAGGCATGGGTAAAAAAGGCTTAGGCCAAAAGAAGCCTTTATGATAAGTGACACTTGTTAGGATAAGCCTTTATAAATGTTTATGTAGGTTTATATGTGTTGTCACAAATGGCTTATGTAGGTGTCAACTTTATGAATGCTGTCCTTCAGTGAATTGTTACAGCTTCTTTCTTTTCACACCTTTACATATTCACAATAAATCACACAAAGTTCAGCTATTTTGTAATAAAATAGTACAATTTTCAACATTTATTTATAGTATAATAGTGAGTCCAGTAAAGCTGTCAGAAAAAAAACTCTAATCTCATGTGAGTAGCTGCCTAAAGTGAAGGGTCAAAGCAGTCAGGTCTCTTTCAGAAAAATTGAGAGATTGTTTTGCAGCTTTAGTCGCTTTGCTGTCAGAGCAGTGATAACTCTCCTTGTTGTCGATGTAGAGAGGCCTTATAACGCTGAACGGGAACCTTCAAACATGTATATTATGTGTGTGAATGAATCGCTTAAATTTTGTCCTTACCCCCAGGCTGTGTCTCATCTGTCTTCCCAGCGGACTTTGGGAATTTTCCTGGAAGATTAATGGAACATGCTTTTGTGGCTAATTGCCTGCTAATGTAGATTAATGCTGTGCTGGAAATAAAAAGGCCAGGCATGGGGTTTAGGAGGGACGTGTAAAACGCTGGTGAAGAAATTCCCCTTCTACTTCTGTTCAGTCCTTGAGTTTGCTGTCCAGCATTAGATGAAGCAGCATGGAACGAGATTTGCACATTGCTTTAAATATGCAGCTTTTCTTGTGATGTGTTCTGGATATGATGAATCATTTATTTGTTTTTTAATGTAACTCCACCTACCAGTGTACTCCTGCAGTCAAGCAGCTATTTATACGGCTTTATGTGGGAGATTCATACCTTCTGGGTAATTGAGATGTGCTTTGATGATATGGAATTCCCATAACGAATAATCTGAAACATACATCTAAATATTGCACGGTATACGCCTCTTTATTGCGACATTGAGCATAAACACTTTCAAAGAATCTGATTTTTCAGTGCACATATGCCCTTCTGAAGTATTAACCCAAAAAGATGATTTCATAATTTGAATAGAAATTTGGAAGTTAGAGTTAAATTTGGGGAGCTTGTATAAGTATGGTAGGGGAGGAGCACAGATGAATTTGTATGCTTTCGTCAGTGTCCTAAAAGCACAACATGGCTGGCAGACAGACGAGACAGAGAGACTTACTGGCTTAGTTACTTTGTGGTCGGCTGAGAGCCAAAAGAAAAAAAAAACAATATACAAGTAAAGAAGTTTTTAAAAATGTATTTTACAGTATAACACTGGATTTTGTGGCTAAAATTCTTCAAAAATGTGTAATTTTAAAATGAAATGAGTATAGGAATTTATACTTATAGAATAAAAATGTTTGCTCTCTCTTTGGGTGAGTGAGTGATGTTCGGGGCAGTGGTTACCAACCCTGGTCTTTGAGCATTTACCTTCCTGCAGAGTGCCATACATGCTCCACATAATTCATTTCTTTAGAAGTCCCTCATTGGCTGGATCGAATGCATTAGTGTTAGGTGTGTGGATAGGGCAGCATGTTAGAACTAAACTCTGCAAAAAAAAGTAGATCTCCAGGAGAAGAGTTAACGACCACAAGGTCAGGGTAACTTTCTGTCAGGCCAAATGAAACGTCCTCATTGGCCACAGCTCTGATCACCGAGTATTGTGTAAAGCCTTTTTTTCTGCAGGATATTTATTATATGAATTAAACCACTGTGCTCTGTTTATCTTCTTCACAGTTCTCATCTTGAGAAATGCCTGCAGATGTTGATGGACCGAGTGGATGAGATGAGCCAAGACATCGTCAAATACAACAACTATAGCCGCAGCCTGAGTAAACAGCAGCAACAAAAACACCAGGTATTGCTTCCCTCGTGGCTCACTGGAGCAGCTTATAGAAATTTACTGTTGCCGAAAAATATCCTTTGGACTGTTTTGCTTTCCGTGTAGCTCATTTGTAGTATTCATTTGCCTCCATTTAGATGCGTTAATTGATGCAAGTCCTCATTTCATGCTACAAGCTTTTCTACACCTAGCTGTTTCCTTCATCGAACGAGGTTGCTAATGTTCAGTCTTTAATTTAAATGCCAGTTTGCACTCATGTTTATCTTATAATGTTTTGATTGTAACATTTTATTAGATGAGAAGTAAAATGAAGTAGTCCTGAGTTCATGGAGGTAATCATGAAAAAGGGGAGAAATGCTGTTTGAGCTTGGTCATTTTGGCAGGCGTTTTATTGTGAGAGCTTTTTTGTGTCTGGGAAGGGGAAAAGAAATCTCTAAAAATGCTGAAGTAGGGGTTGTGCTACTTGTTCATCAGTTTGTTTGGGTCTGTACTGTTAAAGTTGGCAAAAAAAAGCCCCACATCATTTATCTAGCATAAACCACATAATGAATATTTATCAGATTTGATGTGCTGTGTCTGACCTCTGCTCCGTATGAGATAGCACTGCTAATGGAGTGTGCGTGGCCCTTAGAATTACTCCTCTCCATTTTCGACCCCTCATACCGTAACCCCAATAGTTCAGTCCTCCTGAGCTCTCTCACTTCGCTGTACTCGCTCCAGCCTGTGCAGAATTGGAAGTCACAGAGTTTCTAAACCCAATCACTGGGTCAGAATGAAGGTCTTCCTATCTTCTCACTTCCATGTTGGAGCCCGAAGCTTAACCAAACCACCTGCTGTTCCACCTGACCGTCTTTTCTTTCTTCTTGCCTTTTCTTGCTGTCTGAGTCGGCCCGGCACACTGCCCTCCAGCTAGTACTCGCTCTAACACTGCCTGGCGAATTGAATGTTCTGGCAGAAAAAAAAAAAACATGAATCTTCTCTTGAACATTCGAACGCTGTTCTTTGTTGGAGCTCAGCCATGCTGGTTTGATTGAAAATCAATAATTATCACTCAGGTGCTCTTTCACAGCTGCCAGAGTGGGGTGGAGGTGGGGGTGGGGGTGGGGGTGGGGGGCGGTTAGCTGGGCTGGAATGTTTGTTTTTGAACACGACGTGCATCAGTGGCCCTATTTCAAAAGCCTGCACACTTTATCTCGGTGTTAATTCAATTAGTCGTCCGCTGCGTGGGGATCCTGGCTGCGGCACAGGTTTCTGCGCTGCAGTGGCTGATAAGCGGTAGCACCTTGCTCTCCCCAGCTCTTTGATGTTGGCCCACGCTACGCAGGTGACTCACAGCCGTCGAGTGTAGAGAGATGCTAGTTTGTGTTAGCGCCGGCTCCACTAGGCTGTTTTCAGACATGCTGATTGATGAGCTAGTCTTCGGCATGGTAAAGGTTACATCACTGTGTCCATCAGAGACATCCATGGCTCTGGTCTAGCGCAGAGAAAGCTAACAGAGTGTGAAACCTTTCAGACCGGCTCTATGAAATTAGTGGAGTTTGAAGGAAATCGATGAAGTTGCTGTGTGTCAGGGCCTTTATCAGAGAGTTGGGATGAAGTCAGAATGGCCTCTGTGTTGGATTCAATGTCCTGAGCTGTTATTGATTGAACCAAATGTACAAGTGTCTTCCCAAATCTCTGTGATATGTGGGTGATATACAGAATACAAGATAAACCAGAAGAAATTCTGGATGATCTTTTTATTGGTTTTGATATGGAATGTCTCATGTCCTTCTAGACAGACAGACACAAACACACACTCACATTCTTTGCTTTTTATATTGTAGTTTTACAGTGGTAACATACATATAGTAAGTACTTCAGTTCAATCACTTGTACTTCAGTCAAGTCTGTGATATTCAGGGAGGAGCTGTTTAGCTATCTTACATGATTTAGGACCAGACCTTTCTCTTTTATAATGTGAATTTACCTAATTTTCCTAGTTTGACCCTTCAAACCTTCCATGGTCGTCCAGGCTGAAGCCCAGCTGCTCGTGCTCTGCATGTTGCTATGAAAGAAACTGTGATTGTAAGAGTCTTGATCAAAAACAGCTTTTAAGTGGCTTTTCAAGCAACATGTGCACCTTTGGCAGACTAGGCTGGATACATGTGGGTGATTCATGGATAAATCAATGATCAGCAAATAGAGTAAACAAGCAGGGAGAAATTGAAACCATTAACTGTATAAATGAAATACACTCATTTGGAACATGCAGCTACTGTTGCTCTCACTGGATATGAGAGAAAATTAGAAACTATAGATATCACATCATTTTCATGATAATGTGTATTCATATGATAAATAATGTTTTTTAAAAGTTGAAAGTAATAAATACATTTTTTTAAGATTTTCTGCTATAAACGCCCTGCTTTTTAAATAGGTAAAAACTGTTAGGATCAAATTTAAGCAAATGCGATTAATCGATTAACAAATGCCGTTAATCAAGATTTATTACACAAAGTAATGCAGTTAACCATGACTAAATATTATAGTAAACTGTATATAGGAATATGTCATTTTTATACTCTCATGTACAGTCATTAAAGAGAATGAGCATTTCCTTTTTACTTACAAGTAGCCTTTGTCAAGATTTTTATTTTGTCATGTAGGGGTGTAACAATTCTGAAACGGAGACCATGATAGAAATGCCCAACCAAGGTCTCGGAGGTCTTTGAACCGCAGTAACCTCCCACCTACCCACACACCCCTGCCAAAGCCATCATCTTTTTAATTATTTTTTTATTTTTTAAAATTTATCATCTTATTTTCACCTATTTTTAACTGTGTGTCATATAACTGTCTTGGTCCAATCATGATCAATTGATCACGCTTGTGGTAAAAGTTTGGCTAGTTTAATCAGCTCAAGATGGATAACCCTGAGATTGCAGACCTCCCTGGCACATTCAAGTCAGCATTGTGGGAGCATTTTGCTTATCCAGTGGAGTGAAGGGATGGCGAGTGTGTCAGACAAAATGCATGCAATTTGTCGTGTTTCACAAAACTTCCTCAGGCAGCAGGCAACACTTCAAATATGCAAATGCATGTCAGTGTTCTTCTCCTTAGTGTTGTAAATTGTTGGTGATTTAGTAAAATCCAGAATATTTTTCGTTTTTTTTCTTATTCACCCCTTCCAAAAAAAGAGGTATGAATTCCACTGTGACTCAGATATTGAGGTATTAACTGAACTGTGGATTTGGAGAAGCATTACACCCCTATGTTTTAGTATCAGTAGAAGTGAGTGCTTTAGTGTCACTGTATCACTCCTGGTGTTATAAATCAAGAGTGTGTTACACAAGGGGATTTTTTAAGGATATGTACTAGACTATGTACATATTTAGTGACTGAGCTGACTGAGCAGAACCGTACTACAGCCTCACTAATGTGACTACTAATGTGACTTTATCTACTCAACCAACAACAACTGCACCTCACAGATGTATCCAGTGAGATTATGTGCATTAGACAAAGTAATCTTGAAAAGTAGAGGATGGATAGCATATGTCATTAGGTCTTTTCGGACCATTTAGTGAAATCCACGTCTTTACTTTTTTCTCGGACACCTCACCCTCCCCTTTTCCCTTTTTCTTACCTCCTACAGTCTTTTGTTCCACCTGTCATCCTCTCCTCCTTTCAGACAGAGCATCCCCTCCCTCCTATCTGTCCTCCACCCCTTGTGGCCTGAAAGGTCCACCTTAAAGGTTTCCGTCTCTGCGGGAGATAATTGAATCAGCTCAGGCCACCTGTAGGTTAATGACAGAAGCTACAGATAACAAGTTCACATTAACTGTTTGCATTCTCTCTCTCTCTCTCTCCCTCTCCCCATGTCTGCTGCGGTCCCTCTCCTCCAGTACGTCCAGAGACGTCAGCAGGAGAATGCTCAGAGGCAGAGTCGAGGGGAGCCGCCACTGCCTGAAGAAGACCTCACTAAACTCTTCAAGCCTCCTCAGGCTCCCCCACGCATGGACTCCCTGCTCATCGCTGGTCAGTTAAGACTTCATTCACGTAGTTTGGCTTTTCTTGGCTCTCACAAGACCTTCACTTTTAAAGAAATAGTTTGGCAAAAAAATTAAATCTACACAATTATTAAAATGTATGCAGAAAAATTAACATTGTGCAAGGCATACCCAAAACCAGTAGAAGCATCATGTTAAGACCATGCATTTTTATAAATAATGCCATGTCTTACAGGGTTGACAGAAATCATATAAGCAGGTCTGTTTAATTAACATTATTTTCTTGTTCAACAATTTAATAAGTACATGACAGATCATTGTTCGACAGTATCTCCTTTATGAGAATGGGACATTTAGTCATATAAAATTCTAAATAAAATAGAGCAGTTTTAAAAGTGATCAACGTGCTGAAAAACTTCTGTCCCTAAAATTCTAATTTCAAATGCTTGATTTTCTTGCATGCGTTTAAGAAAGAGTGGGCATGGTATTGCGTCATAAAGAAGACCCAAGTGCCCTTTATGGTGCAATATCAAGGACAGTAGCCCTGTCACAAATTGAAGAAATCGTCACAGTTATGCTGGTTCTAGTTTACCATGTCAGGTGATGCGGCCCCTGGAAAACCATGAAAATGTGTTGCTATTATAATTATTTATTTATTTCTGTATTTACTTATTTTTTTAAATGATTTCAAGGACAAAGATCTTTGTGGGTGTCCAAGTACAAAGAGTAGTTTATACACATTTTCAGAAGTGGTAAATAACTTCAAAATATAACATTTTTTATTATTGTTTGTTTGCATCACCCGACATTTTCTGGGTGGTAAAATTGATCGTTTAAAATGAATTTCTACCATTATGAGATCTATGGCACAAATGTCAATACATTGCTCACCATATCTTTTTTAATAAGAATTTTTTAAATGATCATGTTTAAAGCCATATTTGTCATTGACCCAGCAAAATTACACCACCACACATTGCTTATGTTAGAGGTAGGGGGAAATCACGTAAGTTAGATATTCTTGTAATGAAATGAACTGGTGCTCAGTACGTGTGAGGGGAAAAATAATGGATTTTGATTTGAAATGCTAACTAGCTAAACTTCAGTGTCTTACATCAGTCATGCAGTTTCAGGTTCAGTGCCGTTGCTGTTGTTTGCATCACCTACATTTTTAATATAACCATACGAGGATGGATTTAAGTATCACGGTCATTAAGGTGCTGTGAGGATTTCATTGATTCAGTTTAAGATGCTCGAAGAGCGCCCTCAGCGAAGGGAGCGAAATGTGTTGAGAAGGCTGTGAGAACTCAACCGTGTTAATGATTCATTTCCTTATTTAGTCGGAGTAATCTGGGTTTGTAAAGATTTGGACTGATCCCCTCTCCCCTGCTGAGGAGGGGGTGGGGGGGAGCAGCGAGGAGCAATTTATAGTGTACATTGAAGAGACCTTTCCTGAGATAGACGGAGAGATTTTGAATCGTTGTTTCCTCGCTGATTGTTTAAGCGCTGTGTTCCAAGTCAGCTGCTGGGAACCCGTCTTTTGCTTTCTAATCAGGTTTGCCATGCAGTGATCACGAAAGATGAAGCTTGCAGGATGATTTGAGGAATTACTGCTTCGAAGTATAGGCCTTATCTAGTTATTAATCCTGGTAATACACGTCTCTGACAACTTGTAGAAACACAGTAAATTCACTGCTGCTGTGTTTGCAATGAATAGGTGCGAGAGACAGCTGTAGCTAATAGCATGTGAGGTCATGGTGAATCTCAAGAGTTGATTACAGTCCTGTAGGAAAGTCTTCATAGCCCCTGTCTGCCTGTCACCATGGTGGCGGTGAGGATTAATTGCACACGCTCACGCATACACACTCACATGCTCTCACTCTGTCAAAGTCAACCATCACTGTTTCTCAGTGCTGGCACTACGAGGGCATTAGCATTCAGTGCATCTTGAGTATCTAAGCCCAAAATTAAATCCGCTCCAAATGAAGTGGAAACTCTCTCCCCCTTTGTCTCATGTAGTACTTTCCTCCAACTCTTTCCCACTCACTTTTTTACATGTTTGTCACTGTCTTTCGGAGGCGGTGCCAGAGGGAGCCACATGTTTGCAGGACTTTGAATTATTAAGATTCATGGTTTACTGTAAGTTCCATTTGCAGTGGAGTATGTGCGCCTGTGGGGCTTTGTGTGAGGCTGGTTATTGAGTTGTGAGTAATTAGATTTGGAGTTGTCAGTGTGTACATCTTGTGTGAAGTATTTCCTGGAGCTGCCTGAGCTCTGGCTCTTCAGCTGCATGTAGGTGTTCTCTTCAAAAGTGCTGAGCTGTAGGGCTATTGATGGTTAGCGTTCCATCCATAATGAAAACCATGGCTCTTATTTATCAAGCGTTTCAAGCTAAGAAGGCTGATCTGGCATCGGCAACAATCATAGTCTTAAGGACACGAATGACAAAGACTCCTTTCTCATGTGTAAGTTTGATAAATGCTCTTATTGCATTCATTCATTTTCATATTCCCGTCCAATTGCATTCATTTGGATATGAAAGGCAAACCAATTCCAGATCAGCTTACACTGACGTTTCCCAACAGCTGCAGACATGAAAAATCCATTAAATCTCAGATACTGAGCTTCGCTACAGTATACAAAGCCTTTCTGAGTTTAGGCTGAAACATACACATCCCATCAAATGTTTGCGGACACCTTTTAGCCTTTTGAAGAGTACTTTGATTGTTATGATTACTTTTCAATTAACAACTAATGAGTACATGAATTTTACTCACTAGACAGCCCCTTTTCATTATTTTAGTCTATATTTATTACTGCTTCATTCTAGATCACAAGTTTTAATTGGAAAGTCAAAATGTGAGATTTTATCAAATATGCTTTAATATTGATTTTAAAAAAAGTAGTAAAAAGTAGTATCTAGCCTTTTACATTAAGGATGGAGCCATAAAACTGCCACAATATCAGGTTCAGCTTAGCTTTTTACATATTAGCCAGATTGTCCTGAATGTTGTTCTGTTCCTGCCAGTCTGTAAAGCATTTCACAGCCCATCTATTTTGCCTGTTCGTTTCTAGTTATTTCCAGTTTGTGTAGTTGTTCTGCTGCCACAGATGCTTATGAACAATGAAAGGTTTGCAATTTGATTGTCATATTCTAGAATATGATGTCATATTCTTCTCCAGAATCTGACCAAACAGCCTACATGTCAACTATTATCTTACAGAAGTTATCTAATGTGTAAACTGTTTTTGTAAATGCTGAAATGGAAGATTAATAATGGTTGGCTGCAGCACAGAGTGAGTTGTTACTTAGCAACCGGTGCTCAGCAGAATTAGTTATTGTGGGGGTGGGAACGCTCCTCAACTAATCAGATTGTGCTGTTGAACTGTTGATAATTATTAAGGATCATAAGCCTCCATCTTATTTCACCAGTAACAGCAGTGACCATTCACTTGTTTGTGTCTCCTGTGAGCATGATGTAAAAGTGGCAGTACAATCTTATTATAACAGAAATCAACCCATTAGGATTACATGTACAAATGTGGCAGTTGTATAGCAGCATGTTTTTCTTTACTCTTATTTTGTAGAACTTTGATGCGAACATCGTCTTAGGTGCATGCTTAAAGTAAGTGGCTAAGGTCATGTGACCAATTGCACTGTCCTTGTAAAAAAAATTTCAGATGAAATCAAACTCACCTATAACTCAATAGAAAACCTGTAAATTAGTATATAATAAATTAATAAACTGAATATATTAATTTTAGAGCTTTACAAACTGAAAACAGTTTCGCTCATGATCATGCTGGATTAAATAGATTAAGTAAGAAAAGTGCCTACAAAGGTTTTGTAAACTTCAAAACCTTTATTAAGTAATACTTTGCCTCTTGTTCATCAAAATACGTTCTGTAGCATAAAGAGTAGGTCTAAATAATAATTTGACACTTTCTATTTCTGAGCTATTGTTAGAAGCACATATTGAAACACTTTTGCCCCAAATGTGACTTAAATACATGAAAGGTTTGAGCCCTGGTATCAGAACAAGGGAATAAAATGACATGACTCCCAAGGTATTACTGTTCCCTCCGTTTGCAAAGAGAAATGGCAAGATCTCTAAACAGCTTTCTATTTAATGTCATGTTATTGCAAAACGACAAAGAACGCATGCTCACTTAACAGAAAGGCAGGCTTTTTGATTGGCAGTGTTATAAGCATGAGGTCAGCTTAAACATTCAGGCCAGGGTGGAGAGGAGCAGAAAACCTATGGAGGAGCTGGTCCAGGATCAGCTGGACACGTTAGAGCTGTTTGTGTGCATTGTGGAGACAAGAGCTGGTATTGAGGGTGATGGAGTGGTTGTAGGAGCAGCAAAGGACTACACTTCATTCTTTAGTCTCTTAAGGGCTTTTAGAAGAACTCTCAGGCCCAGGCTGGCAAGAACTGTGCTCTCCTCCAGCCCTGCCAAGCAGAAAGCCAATCACTTAGGAGAGCTGCAGCCAGCCCTCAAAACATAATGGAGGACATTAAGACCGAACCGCTTCGCCAAGCAGCCCTCTCATAACTCGTACTTCTACACCTTACCCCCTCTCTCTCTCTCTCTCTCACACACATGCACACACGCTTGCACACACATACGTACATGTGTATATGCACTCTTTCTCATTCTTTCTTTCATCGCCCCCTGAGATAAAACTAAATCTGACTGTCTTTTCCTTCTTTATTTCGTAGGGCAAATTAACACACACTGCCAGACTGTGAAGGAGTTCACCTCTCAGAACCTGGGCAAGCTCTTCATGGCAGAGGCTCTCCAAGGCCAGGGCAGCTAAAGGGGAGGAAACGAGGCAAGCCCTCCTGAGGTGACTCTGTAACTGGTTAAGAGTAAACTATTCCCTTAAGCCGCTGATGGAAGAAGAGTGTTTGGGCATTGAAATTTTGAAAGTCCCCTTAACAAAGCTAACATGCCTAATATGAAAGTTGTTGCATGAGTATTTGTAAATATTCATGTGTAAAGGTGCATAGCAGTATAATTACATCATTATCAGTTATTAAACAGTACACCATGGACTGTATCTGCACACAAAATTAAGATTTCTTTTTTTATTTACACATATACCACATGTACTAGCAATGTCATACAACTTGGACCAAGAAGAAATCAGATAAACCAGTGTTACCTTTCTGGGTTTTATAAAAGAGGTGTTGGAAATTTGCTAATTAAATGGATTTTGCCCACCCTTGAATGTTGCACTGCGTGATTATTATTTTTTTTTTTTTGTATAGTAACAGTGTTTGAGGTCTAGAGGTGCCTCTCATCTTTCTTCCGTTCGGGAGTGTGAGGAGGAGGGATGGAAAGGCAGAGGTGTTAAGAAGAAACTTCAGATACAGCTCTGTTTTCTCACCGCCAGCTGTTTTCCACTCACTTTCTTAACTTGCGTTTCTGCAATACTTGACAAATCTGCCTGTGCTTTTTTTCAGTCTCCTGATCTCTTTTCTCCCCCTTTTTCCTTTGGCGGTAACTTTCATCTCATTTCATTCACAAGAGCGTGTTTAAGCCACCTTTACGATTTCCCCGTCCGCCTGGAGAAAAGGACATTATGCATTTGCCCATCTGTGACTGTGCGTGCAGCCCTCTTTGGCCTTGATTGGTCGGAAATCCCACTCTTGTTGCATTAAATGGAAAAGGAGGCATTTACAGCATTCAGACACAAGCTGTGGAGGGTTCACTGAGGGCGCTCAGCCGAATCGAAGCTGATGCGCTTGTAATTACGGTATATTGCTGTAAAAAGAGCCCCCCTGGTTCTGTCAAGCCCAACAAGCAGCAGTGGGAATTCATTTCTGCCCACCACTCCCTACAGAAGAGTAAAGGCTGAATTCATACAGGGTTTCCCACCCACGAGCCAAGCGCTCTCATCATTAGTCCGACTGGAATGTGGTTTTAATTTATTCCCGCATGACTAGAAGCGATTAAAGCTGTAGAGTTTTATTGTCATGGTTTACATCCTTTAATCACCCAGACAGATGATTCCAGATAGTTTCCCCTTCTGATGGTGGCAGGGTGCGTTTCACACCGCCTGATGTGCCGAGCTTTTCAACATAGATCACGCTGGAGCAGCCCGTTCACTTCTTCCCTCCTATTACTAACATGCTAAAAAAAGATCCACCATTCCAGAGGGTTGATGTCCTTTTCCAGAAGCCGCCACATCCTTTGTCACTCTCCACAGGTGAACAGTAATCACAGTGTGGACCACGTAACCCTGTAATTAAACATTACATCCTGTCACGATGGAAAGTAAATTGCAAGGCTTTTATGCTTCTAAAGATGAAAAGGAAGGCATTTAGTAATGGTGATGGCTGTGCTCACTTTGAGTGGACTCAGCTCCGTTTTAGGCAGTGTGTGAACTTTTGATCATCCCCCAAAACCTCAACTGATCTCATTTTAGGGTTGTTAATTTTCAAATAAATGGACAATTATCTTCCTAGAAAAGCTGTTTAAAAGACCTGTGCCTCACATATAAATCTTAAGAAGCCATGGTCTTTTTCTTGCTCTTGCTCTTCAGCCACCTTCTAAAGCTTAATATAGCATGAATCAAATTTGTAACAGCTCACTTTTTCTTTTTACGGTCATCCTTCTGTGTTTAACAGTTGCTGCAGCAAGTTAGTTTTGCTGCCATGGTGCTGATTTTACTTAAGGCCCAATACCATTTCACGCTTTGCCCCTACCGTTTAGCCCTTACCCCTCTGTTTTGCACCTTTACACCGAGGGGTAGGGTGTCCCAATTTTTGTTGTGAAAGAGGGGTAGGGCAAAGTGTTAGGTCTACATGGTCCTCCAAACTGAGGTTTTTCAGAGGCACACTCCAGAGTGTTATGAGGAAAAAGAAAAACGGGCAAGATGGCTGCACAAGTGACCAAAGAAACCCACAAATTCAAGTATTTTCTCCGTTAAACCATTTTCTTCAGTAACCATTGTATTAGTTTAATGTCGTTTCAATGTATTATGGTACTTTTCTTTATAACAAGCATAAAAAATTGCTAATACTATGTTGATGTCTCAGTGGCTAGCTTGCTAAATTTCCCATTCTACCCTAAATGGTGGAATGGGAAAATTCGAACAAGAAGCTGGTGAAATCATCAAAGAATTAGGGGTAAGTGATAAATAATTGTCGCACTCTTTGAAGGCATTTGATGCCTCAAATTTACCTAAAGACGAACGGCGAGGTTGCTGATCTTTACCGCTCCTCTGCAATCACTGCTGACTGGCAGGGGGTTGACTTCACTACCTCTTGTTCCAAGGGGCAAGGAGACACTTCTTGGGGCAAATGCATAGTAATTATAGCCGTCTATAGTTCACCCAGTATACAAACCACAGTTTGCAAAAAGTTGGGACAGTATGTGAAATGCATATAAAAACAGAAAGCAGTAAGACTGTACTATGCACAGTGGAAGCTGTATGTCGACAGTGTCCAGAAACATCATGACTTCTCTGGGCTCAGGTTTATCTGAAATGAACTGATGCATAGTGGAAACCCATATTGTGGTTCTTTCAGATTGTTTGAATGAAAATAATGGACATTGTGTTCTTAGGGCCAAAGAAGGAAAGGACCATGCAGATTGTTACCAGCATAAAGTTAAAAAGCCAAGGTCTGTCATGGTATGGGGATGTGTTAGTGGGTAACTTGTATATCTGTGAAGGCATCCTTAATGCTGAAAGACATTTTGGTGCGATGTGCTAACTTTTAGATGCCTTTCAGGAACGTCCATGTTTATTTTAACATAATACCAGGCCACGTTCTGTATGTGTTACATCATCATGTCTGCGTAATCGGAGTGCAGGTGCCAGACTGGCCTGCCTGCGGTCCAGACTTGTCTCCTATTGCAAATGTGTGGCACATGATAAAGCGCAAAATACCACAGCAGGGGTGACATACAGTTGTGCAGCTAGAGACTTGCTTAAATAGAAGAATGTCCAAAAAATGTTTTCAAAACTGGATCAGTTTGTATGTTCAGTCCTCAAACAATTAGGTAATGCAGGTAGTATTGTAGTGAGGATGTATTTGACATAGAAAAGCAAACTTCGTAAGGTAAAACCTGAATTCATGCATTTTTTTAAATAAATGTGCTAGAATACAGAGCCCAAACAACAGAAATAGTAGCAGTGTATTTACTTACGGACTGTGTTGTTTCCACTGATGAAGAATTAAATCTTAAATGTAAAAGTAAACAAGTAATTTGACTTTTGTGTCCAGAGATTGCCTTGATGTTAGAAAGTGAATCTTCCAAGCAAGCAAATCTTTGTATGTAACCTGACATTTGGCAAATGCTACATTTATTTCTTTTTGATGAGTGGCATAAAAGCTGTAGCAGTTGAGACTAAACTGAATTCTTACTTGTTCCTTTAACAGACATGGCTCAGAGGTGAGCTGTGCCTCTTCAGCTGTTAATTTAGGCCTTCATTATAGCACAGTTCTCACAGCTGATAATCTGATTTGGTGTTTGTGTCCACAAGCATGGAGGAATGAATTTCTCCCCAAAGCCTCATTGATCTGAGCATGTAGGAGAGAGACTGAGGACATTGATTGGAGAGGTGCTGGTATCAGGTCGGACTCATTAGGCCTCGCTTTGAACACGGCCATTGTGTTTGTTTCAGCGCATTGGCATCAACATGCCCCTGCTTTTATTCCATTATTGATGAAAGCCCAATTCTTTCCACCTCTAGCAGAGTGTTGCACTTCTATGAAAGCGCCTAGAATAGGCTTTTGTTCATCTCTTTAAAGAGGAAGTCATCACTCCTCACCAAATCCATTTTGAGCCGCCTTGTCTCAGAAAGTAACATCCAAAACACTTCTTGCCCTTTTGGACCAAATGATCATTTTCTTTACTTCTTGCACATAAACTATATGTTGAGATTGATCTGTTTGTTGAAATTGTGGTTGCTGCTGTTGATCTTCTCTCCCTTGCTTCGTTTGAAAGGCACTCTGTTTACCTTAGCTGAATTTCAGGCCACATCATTATTGTCCCAGAAGCAGTGGCCTCAGGGCATTGGCCTTTTTTTGAAACCACTCTGTCCACTCTGCTTCCTGTTGATGACGCACATTACTACAGTGCGCACTCTGTTGGGTGTACGTACATTCCAGGAAAAAGAAATCTTGGGTCCTTGAAATGTTTCACATTTAGATATCCTGTTGTTCTTGCCCAGTGCTGTCCACCACTTCCTGTGAATCATCTATACAGGAAATCCATATTTTTCCTATTACTTTCCCTTTTCCTTGTTCTTTTTTCGTATTTTCTTTGTACATCACCTGTATTACTAGGCAAAACCACTCTTGGAGAATGGATTGACGTCACAAAGTAAATTATTTCTATGAGTGTAAGTTGGCAGTTTTGGCAGTTGATTGACCTCCATTTCTATAGTAGTTGCTAAAAGCTGTTACCACTATCCAGGTCCAGCCTTTTCTAAAGCTGTTTCTCAAAAATGATTTACTGACAAACCAAGAAAGAAAATCCTCCTCTCAGGACTTTATATAGTCAGTGCTACTGCTGCTGAAGAGTCCGTCTGTATAATGGGGCCATGGTTGTGTTCAGAGTTCACAAATCACACTGAGTTGTGACTCATGATTCCATCACCTGGGACAGCTATGGTCCATAAGCAGCTGGCAAAATGTCTAAATGAGTGGTTGCCAGGCCTCTTCCTGAAGATCTACTTACTGCGGAGTTTAGTGCTCACCTAACGCTAATGCAACTGATTCAGCCAAACAGGGACTTCTGAAGTTAATAAGATGGAGTGAGTGTCAGACCGAGGCTGGAACTAGACTCTTCAGGGAGGTAGATATATAGATATATATGAACAAAAATATGTTTAAAAGTGTACTTAATAGGTACTCAGACACTCCTAAAATATATACTCTATTTAAAAGTTAAAAATAAAGCAAGTTTTACATATTAATGCTATAAAAACAGTTCTTGTGCAAATTGCAGCTGGGGTTTAAAACACACACATTGTCATTGTTTGGAAAGATTTGCTGCAAGAAGTAGGAATCATAGTGAAGTGGAAGGAGCTTACTGAAGGTCTCAGGGGTTGCATTATTAAACAACACTTGAAAGGAAAAAGCTACAGAGTTCTTGCAAAACACCTTAAACATCTCAGTATTTGGTACAGTTGGTCTGAAAGGTACCGAAAGGTAAAAGAGAAGCCAGCCTACACCTAAAAAGAGTTGCAGGAGGACCTGAAAAGAGCAGGAACAA